GCAGGAATGGATGTCATCATCTATCAAGTGAGCTCCCTGACTGGGTTTGTGAGACCACCTGATGCCAGATGCCCAAAGACTATAATTAAGCCATGGGCAAGAGGGAAGCCATACTAACTCTGTGATTCTATCGGGCTGTGGCTCTGACTATGTCAAGCTTCATTGCGATGGATTGCTCTGTAGAGAATGCTTAAGCCTCTGGCTTGGACTCGTATACTCCATGAAGGTGTGCCATCTAATAATAGGTACTGAAGTATTAGGTAGAAAGTTAGTCTTTGTTGTTTTCTTGCTGTTATATTGCAGAGACTGTGTTGCCCAGTGATATCTTGTTTCTTAAAATATTTAATAAACCTTTATACTTTTTACAAAGGTCTGATTTCTTGTGTGCATATAACCTTGAGGACCCCCAGGTCTGAGCACAGGGGGACCCAGGCTTGGGTTTTTGACACCTCATTTAAAAGTTGCCTGACATTCAACCCCCCTCAAAACCCATGGCAGACATGCAGGCCTTGCAGTGCCTCCTGCAGATCTCCAAGTAGGGGCCCCTCTCACTTCTTCAGAGAGCCCATTCCACAGAGCTGGAGCCACGATGGAAAACGCTTGGGCTCTGGTTGATGCCAGCCGGGCCACCTCAAGTGGTGGGATAGCCGACATATGGCTCCCTGATTACCATAGTTAGCACTCAGGGACATATGGAAGGGGATTGTCCTTGAAATTCATATTCACTCATTGTAATGTTCTCTGTATGATAAAGATGAATGCAGGTTACTTATTGTGGTTTTTATTTTTTGTTTTGAAGTGCTATACATTTCCAGACACCTGAGTTTCCTTTCTTTATAATACAACAATCTCATGTCTGTTTTTACCAGGTCCCTCTACTATTGACTTTGGAGAAGTTTGTGTGCATTCTATATCTGTCAGGAAACTGCATCTTGTAAATAATCTTCCTGTTCATGTTTGGATACAAGTAGGAATTGGAAGTGAAGAGCTACAACAGACTAGTCCTTTATCTCATGTCATGTCACCTCAGTCACGAACGTACATTCCAGTTGTGTTTGAGACTGACAAACTGGGAAATTTTCAAAAGTAAGATTTCGCATGTGCCTCTTGATCTATGCATAAATTTAATGGCTAAACTTTTTGAGTAAAGCTGTGAGAGGGGTTAGTCATGCTTCTTGTTGCAGAGGAATGTTGCAAACTGAGTTTATCAAAATGATTCTGTGTATGCTTGGTCCAAAACTCTTATTCCTGATCCCCCAAACCAGGCTTTAAAGTGTTGGGAAATGTATGCCAGGGGCTTGTTCGCTCCCTCTTACAGTGGTGCTCCAATTCGTCTCATTATATCCTATAGTTTGTGGTGGTAGCTGAACTGGGAAAACTATGGTTTGTTTCTAAACCAGAGAATGAAACCAGACTCTGATTTGGAAGCATGTTATGATTTCCATAAACTGTGTCACAGTAGACCATGATTTTTCTCAGAAGAAGAAGAAGGGAGAGAGAAAATCGGAGAATGCAAGGAAAAGAGGAAGGAATGGGAGGAGTACATGATCCTGCAGGCCTGTGCAATGTAAAGTCTCAGTACTGGACCAATTGTCTTGACAAAATAGTGTTTGGGAGATTAAAAATAAAAGGCAGGCATCCCAGATAGGCAGCCCAGGTATCAGCAAAGCTCTGACTGCAAATGTAGTGGAGCTGAGAATTTGAACAAGTATTTAGTGATGCAAGTATGGCAGTAGGATGGCAGTTCTTCATACTTGGCTTATGTAGCAGGCATATGGTTTTGTGTGTAGTTGTACTAGTAGTGTTTTAAGATACTGAGTATCGTATATTATGATACATGGTTTCAGAAAACTTTAAGGAAACAAGTCATTTGTTGCTTAGTGAAAAGACAAAATTTTATTTGTTCATTAAAGAATAAGAATAATAGAATGAATCATTTATGAAATTTTAGCTCCCTGGAAAAAGAGTATTGTTTAAAATAGCCCTTGCTGCATTTTTGGTCCATACAGTATTTTATAGCGTGTGTTTAAAATTAATATTTATGTGTTTGTATAGTTAAATACTGAAATAAGTGGATTTTTGTTTGTTTTTTTACAGGTCCTTTATGTACACAATAAACCAACATCACACTGGGCATGTGTTGGTGGTAGCAAAAATAGTACCTGTTGCCTTGGAGCTATCAACAAGGGAGCTGACTTTATATCCTACTTCCAGCTTCCTGGCTGAAAATGGGTTTAGAACTACAGTCACACTGTATAACCACAAAAACTATCCTGCTCAATTCATCTGGAAGCCCATAATCACAGATAAAGGAATGGCTTTTTCTATATGCCCAGACAAAGGTAAATTGTATTGTAACACTATTTTAAGCAGTGATAAAAGAATGAAATGTATTCTGAAAGAATATTTTAAATAAGTCTAATATTAAACCATTAATTAACAAAGGCCATATCTGCCACAGGACCATCTTTCCTGAAGAAGAAAGTGCAGAGAGATGTCTGTATGTCTGTATGTCATTCAGAATATTTGATCAATTGTATATTGACATGTATCTGAGTTACTGCTTGACACAGTTAAAAACGCAGGCTGTCAATCTTAACAAACTGCTAGTTGATTTATCATTTGACTTTTTAAATTGTATGCATAAAATTTTTGAGGAAAGTAATATGTTTAATTTGGAGCATATTTTTAGAAGATTCAACAATAAAAAACCACACTGATGAAACAATCTGATTGCCATTCTGCATCAAAACTCAGCTTAACAAAATGTCTTTCATTTGTGCACCCCCATCTAAGTAAGGACTAACAATTAATGCATTTTCTTTCAGTCCATTCTTTTCATATATAAAACCACTGTTTGAAACACTTTGAGGCTGTGAACCAGGCCCGTAGCTAACATGGGGCCCACGGGGCCCGGCCCCCTTGTGTTTCTTCTGGGCCCCCTCCCTCCGGGGCTGCCCCAAAGTGCTCCAACTTACCACCTGCACTGTACTTCCATTTAATTAGCTGGCGGGCCCCCCCAAGGCCCCCTCCCAAAGAATTCCCTAGCTACAGGGCTGCTGTGAACTGTATCTTTATTCAGCATTAAATTGAAACTCTTGTTTTGTTTGTGTTGCTAGGCAGAGTTAAATGATTTGCATACATTAATTTACATGGTTAATAAGAACTTATTTAGGAGCTAGAGACACTGGAACCATGTTCTGTCAGAGGCACCCAATCAAACTGAAAGACAGCACTTTCTGATGGGACAATTTGCATAAAGATCTGACTATGATTAATGGAATTTTTTTTATTCTCTTGTTTACGGCTGATCTGCGGCTAATGTGAGCCGCACCAAAGTTGGAACGCCGCGGAAGGAAGAATCGGATGGGAGGGGGAGGCTGCCGAACTGCGCATGCTCGAGCATGTGCAGTACAGCAGGGGGCCGGGATGCACCGGCGCAAAGACACGCCGACCGATCCCACGGCCCAGCTTGCGGCGCTCTAATGGATACAACCACCTAGGTAGGTGGTTCTTTTTTAGTGCGCGTTTTTGGCGGTAGGGACGGATCAAGGACGGGCAGGCAACGATTCCCAGATGTTGCCATGGGATCGGCCTGTTTGCTCCGCCCCCGTTCCGTCCCCCTCCTGGCCCAAAACGCCTCGTATGAACAGGGCCTGAGTTGGCCAACAAAAATGCGAAGTCGGCAAGGAGGTATCATTGTAGCTTGTGCTCAAATAAAAGCATGTTGTGGGACAATTTGATGTAAAACTAGTTTTCTTGGGGGCATTGTTTGATTAACTGGGCCCATTTTTGAATCTCTGTAGTAAAATTAGTGTGTTTCATCGCTAATTAAGTATTTGGTTTTATGTAACACATTTCTGTGCATACTTCTTTGTACACTAGTAGCATTCCTTAAAGATACATCTACAAATTGGAGACTTGGAAAGCAGGATTTCAACTAAGGTTTCCAATTATTTTTCACTCGCAGGATGTTTTATAGCAGCAGTAATATCATATCTCTTTTCATATTAATTTAGGTACGGTAGAAGCCTATAAAGACTTAGAGTGTGAAGTAGTTTGGCATCCAAGTTTCTCCTCTCCAGTAACAGGAGAATTTGATTTATGTGTGCATCAAGGAAAAACACTTAGACTAAAATGCTTCGCAAAGGTAACAGTATTTTTTTCAGTTTGCCTTAGAAAAATCTGTGTTATATTAGCCTTAATTTAAAGAAGAAATTTAAGAGGTTTTTACTTCAGCAGATAGAACCACTGAAACTTAAAACATAACAAGAAACCATTAGCAAGCCATAGTTCAGGTAAATGACAAACTAAGGTTTGCTGTGAAAGTGGAAGCTTTTAACTGACATGCATAGGGAGGAAGTCATGTTTGTTCATGTAACTATAAACTGTGGTTCATTGTCATGTCTAAATAATGTTGAAGAGTCTATAGAATAGATAAACTAAGGTAGCATCCCAGGCTATTTCCACATGGAGGTTCTTCTCTGCCTTGTCTTTCAAATTGGAGTATTTTGGGGGGTGGGGGGAGGTTTTATACAATGTCATACTGTAATTGTCATCTTTTGAGGTTTTCCCTGTCTTCAGTATTTTCTTTCCCAAACCTGCTTTATTCTGATCTTTTTGTAAGGGAATAGTACATATTGTTGCTCACAATGTCACCTTTTCCTCACTGTCAGTCACTTATGGGTGCCATCTGCACCTTCTTCTTTCCTGCTTGTGCCATCACAGATCTTGAAAGAGCTCTCTCAGCCCTACCTACCTCACAGGGTGTCTTTTGTGAGAAGGGGAAGGGAAAGGAGATTGTAAACTGCTCTGAGACTCCTTCGGGTAGTGAAGTATAAATCCAATCTCCTCTTCTCTTCCTCTTTTTGTGGGCTTTTAAAAAAGAAATTGTAATTGCTATTGCACTATAGCTCAGTAACATTAGAATGATCTACTGCCACTTACTTGTTTCTACTTCAAATTTTAGTTCCTGTGAATTCCCAATATTCATTAAAAAATGAAGTCCACAGTCCCTGTCATTGCAGCAATATAAGGGAAAAGGTGTGGGCAGTTTTTGTACAGATTGGTAGGAAAGGAAGGGGGGGGAGCCGCAAGATGGCTGAAGCAGGACGGGAATTCACTGCTTAATTGATTGTTTCAAACTCTACCATCCAGTGATTTCTTCACATGCCAGTTAGAGGAAATGAAACATATGGGGGTGGTGCTTCAGGGAGAGGGGTGCTGTTTTAAGGGTTTGAGGGTTTATGCATAGCAGGTTAGCTGGGGGTGAATGAGTGGCAGACTTGGCCCCTGGAATTTGGGTGCCAGGTTTACCAGCCATGATGTTAATTCCCTGTGACAGTAGCTAGTCCATCTGCAGACTCCTTCCCTCCTTCACAGGCAGCAGAAGCAACATGGGGGAGGGAGAGAGAGAGCTAATATGCCCCAGCTAGTTTGCAGTGCTTTGAACCTTTAAACTTTAAAGGGCCATTATTTTCAATGTGAATCTGGCCTCTGAACTCAAGAGGCCAGGTCTCTCCCACCTCCCATTGAAAACAATAGCCCTTAAAGTTTAAAGGGCCGATACACTATGAACCAGCTGGGTAGGGTCTAAATAGTGAGTGGTAGATCTGGCCTCCAAAGTTGGGAAGCCAGATCTTCCCACTGAAAATAATACCTCTTTAAAGTTTAGAAGGCCATTGTGGTACGGGCCATCTGGGGCATGTAAGCCCCTCCCCTCCCTTGCCAGGTCTGCTGCCTTCAGGGTAGGGGGAATCTGTAGTTGGGTTGGCTGCTGCCTCAGGTGTTTAAAATAACGAGCAGTAGACCTGGCCTCTGAAGTTCAGAGGCCAAGTCTTCCAGCTGAAAATAATATTCCTTTAAAGTTTAAGGGCCAGTGCACCTTGAACCAGCTGTGAACAGCGAAAGGCCTCACAACCCAAATCTGGATTTTCCCGGTATTATCAGGAGGAAAATATCAGAATCGAGAAATATTGACATACTCCAATCTCTCTGTCTTTTCTGTAGCCTGTAACGCTTTCACAAACTGAGTCCTACAAAGGTTTAAATTTAGATGTGACTATGGAAGATCTATGAATGGAAAGTTCCCAAACATATTCTGGTCAGAATTGTAGTTTGAATTATGTGGTGTTATACATTAATTTTAACTAGAATAAGCCAGATATTTCTGTTTTACTATACATGCTCACTTAGTTGTTCGAGAAGATAAATCATTATTTTCTTTAATTTTGCTTCTTTTGCTTATTATGTTAATAAGCCAGATATTTCTGTTTTACTATAGAGTTGGATACATGCTCAGTTGTTCGAGAAGATAAATCATTATTTTATTTAATTTTGCTTCTTTTGCTTATTATGTGTAAACATACATCCTTGTCTTGATTCCAAAAAGTCAAAAGAGAATTTGAAAAAGGGTTAGATATAATCATGGAGAAAAGATCCTTTAGTGGTTACTAGCCACGGTGTCTAAAGGGTGCCTCCCTATGCAGAGGCAGTTGACCTCTGAATAACAATCCTAGGAGGCAACAGACAACATCAGGGAAAGACCTTGGCCTTAATGTATATTTATGGTAAAACAGTATTAATTTTTGTTTGTCCTTCTTGATTTTAGCTTGGTTCTACCAGTGTTCAGTTTAAGGAACAACGGATAACCTTTAACCATGCTCCTATACATTTAACTACCTGCAAAATAGTTATTCTTCAAAATGTGGGACATAATCATGCCTACTTCCAGGTGAGACATATCCCAAAGTGGTTAATTTTAGATTCTCTCTGCTGCTTCTGCTCTGAAACCTCTGCATGTACTGCTGCTGAAATACTCAATGAGTGGTTTTGCAGGCAGGCAAGTTTCTTTATTTGCAGCAAACTTCATAGAACTAAGGTTTTCTAATAATTGTGTTCACAGGTTGTTGATGCCAGTCCTCTTCCTGGAATGATTATCACTCCTTTTCAGGGTGTAATACCTGTGGGAGGTCGTACTGAATTGAAAATCTACTTCACACCTAATGCATTAATGAAATTTGATAGCAGAGTGGAGGTACCACCATGCAAATATCTATTTTTTCCTTTTATTTAAAAGTTGTTAGCATTTTAGTATGTTAATAGCTTATGAAGCCTCTGGCAGTGATTGGATGAGGAGTTGTGGTGTTATGAAATACTTATGAACATTCTATAAGGTGAGGCAAGGAAGGAGTCAGCAGTGCAATGTTTGGAGTTTCAGCTTCTGTGAGGATAACAACAGGGCTGCTTGCCTGGGAAAATTGTTATGCTACTGTACAGGCTAGAAGAGCTGTATGGACAATAGAAGGATGAATATTGGAAAGTTGGGTGGAAAGAGATCCTCACAAGCAGGCATGGCTGATAGAAGGGGGAGGGTTGCCAGAACCCCCAGTAGAGGCGAGGGTTGCCACTGCCAGGCCCCACCTCCCTGACACCGATCAGCTGGCTGATGTGGGGGCCTTACTCTGAAAAAGAGGGAGATCCATCCAATGTGCAGTGATGTGTCTCCGTCACTGCCCATGTGACCTGGAATTGACATAATCGTAACCAGGACGTTGGGAGGACACTGGTATTTGGGCAAATTGTTTGAAGCCAAATTTATCATAGAATTTTTGCCCAAATATCAGATGTCCCGGACTTGATGATGTCACTTCCAGGACATGTGGCAGTAAGGTGGACATGTCACTGTAGGCTGGATTGGCCTCCCTGCTGTTCCCAGTAAGTCCCCTGCTCCTGGTAAGTCCCCCCCTATCCCCCACGGATTGCCAGAAGGGTCCTGGCAGCCCTAAGAAGGAGAGTAATAATTACACCTGATGAAATTCTACACGTCCAGGTCTGAATTTATGCTTTTCTTTAAAACACTTCTCTCTTTCTGTATTAAGCAATGCAGGCAGCTTGTAAATTTCTGTAAACATTTTAAATGTGAAACATTTTTGTAAACATTTTAAATGTAAAACATTTTGTGAATATTTTAAATGTAAAATATTTTGTAAACATTTTAAATGTAAAACATTTTGTAAACATTTTAAATGTAAAACATTTTAAATACATAACATCAAAACCACAATGTAAAATACTGAAGCCAACAGCAGCAAAAATTAACCATTTATGTTATAAAATATTTATTGGTAGGTATTAAAAACAATAAAGTCAGAAATTAAAACATGAGTAATTAAAAGACAGGGCAATCCATCTCTTCATATCAAAAGTCTTCTGGCAGGCAACAGATTTTTACCAATGCTTGGAAGATTGTAATAAGTAAGTGTGTGTGTGTGTGGGATTGGAACACAAAGTACTCAGAGAGTGACTTTGCAACACAACTGATTTATTATGTAGCCACTGTAACATTGGCCCTGGCCTATCAACTAGAAAGTCAAGCACAAAGCTAAACTGTCTGAGACAGTTCTGATAAGCTTCTGCTTGTTATGCTACCAGGAGTAGGAGAGGGGTGAGCTATGTTTTATGAATTTGATTAAACTAGGCTAATCCATGCAGGGGGAAGTGAGACAAGGCGCCACCTGAACTGGGTTGTGCTAAATTGCAGTGTGACATACAAGTATGGAGGATGGTGTAGGCTTACCAGGTTGCCTACCATGGCAACTTCCCTCCCTCACCACTCTCCTGTGCCCACTAGTGCAGTGAAAGACAACAAGGTGGAGGGAAGTAACATTGTGGATCTGACAATGTCCCTTCTGGTCACTGAATCTGTGACACAGCGACATTACTTCTGGCTCTTCACTAACAGTGAAGTCACGATGCAACACTCCCCCTCTCCATACCATGCCTCCAAATGCCTCCATACCATGCCTTCCCCAAGTCACTAAGTGGTCCTTCAGATGCTTACATATCGATCCCTTTAAAATCTGCCCCACCACCTTCACCCCATCTACCAATTCTTCCCTGTTGGTTAATATTAAGTCTAGTGTGGCTGAGCCCTTTGTAGCTTCCTCCACCATTTGAAAAAGGAAGTTGTCGGCCAGACAGGTCAGAAGGTTGCGTGATTCTTGTCGTTTTGTTGAGCCTGTCTCCCAGCACACATCAGGAAAGTTGAAGTCTCCCATAATTATAAGGTTCTGATGTCTGGATACTCTACCAATCTGTTCAAGGAGGGCAGCATCCATTTCCTGTCCCTGGTCAAGTAGCCTGTAGCAGACTCCAGCAACAATACCTGATAACAGACAGGCAGCCAGTGCAGATCCTTCAGTGCATAGTTAATACAAGAGGGGGACCCGCGATACTCGCGGGGAGGGGGCCCGTCTCTCTCTTTCCC